GAACAGTAATGAGAGCCACATGTTGGCCAGATGTGCCAGGAAGAGGCTGCCAGGAATGCAGAGCACCAGCCCCGCCCGCCGCGAAGGCCCCGCCCCCGCAAGGACCAGGCCGGCGGTGAGCGTACACAGCAAAGTTTACTTTCTTGGCTTTCCCAACGTTGCGTGCAAGGACGTCGGTGCGCGGAGGCAGCCTTCCCTCCAGGCTCCACCTTACTGCGTCTGCGTCTGCTGCTGCTGCGTGGGGCTGGAGCTTGGGGTCAGGGAATCCTTGATCCTCAGGTTCATCTGAATCTGGTGGGGAGACGGCGTCAGGGGAGGGTCCGCCACCAGCCCCCTTCCTGCCGGGATTCAGGGATTCGCACAGCACCCACCTCCAGCAGCCGGCGCCTCTCCCTCTCCCTCTTCAGCTCCTCCCAGATGTCCATTAGCTTACTTCTGCAGACCAGAGAATGAGGGGAAGGGTGGCTCAGCCCTGCCCTTCTCCTCCCCCCCCCCCTGCCCACCCCCTCCTGACCTTCCCCGACTTACTCCAGCTGCTCCCCCATCAGCTCCAGGTCCTTCCTTAAAGACTCCACCTCCTCCTGTAGCTTCCTCACCTCCTCGTTGTCACTTTTGCTGACGATGGGATTTTGTGGGACCAGTGAATGAAGGGTGGGAGTTCCTTGAGGGCCTGGATTCAGCTTGATGGGAGGTGGGTCCTTTTGAGCAGGGGCTACCTTTTTGTGGGCTGCCTCCTCTTTGGGGGTCGTTTCATCCTCCGCAGGCGTCTTCTCCTGGAGGGTGGTGGGATCTGCCCAGAGTTGGACCACATTCTCAAGGGACCCTGACGTAGCCTCCAACTGGAGGTCAGAGCTGTCCCTCTTATCAAGGGGGTGTTCCTCTGGCTTATGGACCGAGGAAGACATGCTCTTGGACTTGGACGGGCCTGCTTCCGGAGAGGGATCCACCTGAGTGTTGTCCCCGGAAGAGCTCTCTTCAGAGAGCATCTGATCGAAGGTCAAGGCCTTTTCTAGGGTGGAGGCCTCGTCCCCAGAAAAGGCCATCTTTGAGTAAAGGGCTTCATCTGCTAGTTCGACACTTAGAGCGGGGGTCTCCTCCGCAGAAAAGACCCCTTCTGGAGCGCGGGCCTTGCGCGGCGGCAGGGTCTTCTTTGGGGTGAGTGTCTTGCCCGGAGTAGCGGTTTTATTCGCAGGAGGGGCCTTTGCTCGGCTTCTCTGCTCTTCCTCCTGTGGTGATGGGAGGTCTCAGCTGAGGGCTCTCCTCGGCCTGGGATCCTTCACCCGCACACGCCATATCCCTGGGAAGCAGACTGCCCAGTCTCCCACGCTGCCATGTTGCGGGCCTCTCACCTGAGTGTTTGCAGGTCGCTGCCGGGTAGCCTGGGTTCTGGATCGCTTTCTGCCGGGGTGGCCCGGACCCCCAGCCAGGAGGCTGCCACTGGAGCCTGTGAGAGCAGGATGTCAGGGGGGCCCAGGCTGAGTCTCTCCCCATCGGTCACCAGTCCTCACCCAACTGAGAGAGGAGCCAGGCTTACCGGAGTCTCGGGAGGGGCGCTTCTGACCGTCTCCACCAGGTGGCCTGCAACATAGCCCCGTCAGCAAGGCACAGCATTTCCTAGGCACCCGCACCCTTCCCCAGCCCCACCCTGCTCCTACTTGGCTTTGCTGGTCCCAGGGTGGGCTGTCATCAGCTTCTTGACTGTAGGGAGGGTTGTTTTGGGCATCATCTTTTTTGATTCCTTAACAGGAGCTGGGAGGGAAGAGGTAAGTGCAGCATTTGTTCTCACTCATCCATCCACCTGGGAGCCCCTGGCCCTGCCCGGTGCTGTGCACAGGGATTAGGGACAGGAGGTGAATCGTGTGACTCCGCCTCTTGGGAGCTCTGGGGAAGCTGACACCTTCATGCCACAGGGGCATAGGGAACTGTGGGGGCACCCCAGAGAGCGGTCCCGGAAGGCTTCGTTGGGGAGGTGGCTCCAAATACTGCCAGTTCTTCAATCCATGCTTTTCTAAGACCTGTCCCTGCTTAGTGTCATGAGTGGTTCAGACTTCATTTCTGTCCTGGACCATGGCAAGACCTTCCAGTTCACCCTCCCTGAAACTTCTTTGTCTTTCCATCTCATTTACTCCCTAAGAAATCCCACCCAGTCTCACGGGCTTAATTACCAGCAATAAGCCAAGGACTCCAACGTTTCCACTTCTAACTCCTCTCTCTTCCCTGAGCCCCACACTCAGATCCGACTGTCCTCCCATTATTTGCACTTGGAGAGCTAACTGGCATCACACATGCAACATGTTCAAAACCTGTCTCTTGCTTCCCAACCTCCCTGTTCCCTGAATCTGCCCCTTTCCCAGGGTTCCCCATCTCACCCAATCGCCCACTTGCTCATACCACAAAGTGAGGAGTGATCCTTGACCTCTTTTATACCTTTATGCTGCACACATCCAACCCGTCAGTAAATCCCGTCTGCTCTATCTTTAAAACATGTCCTACATCCACCTCTCTTCACTACCTCGGCCACTGAGCACTCCTGATCAAGTCACCACCATCTTCACCTGGACTATTGCAATGGCCTCCAACCTGGGCTTTGGCTGTACTCACCCTGCCTCTGGTGTGTTCTTCCCCCAGCAGCTTGAGTGAGCTCATGTTCTATGGGGAAGCAGACATAAACAAAAGAAGTAAAACATGCAGTGTGTTAGAGAGTAGGACATGTGATTGAGGACGGATAAGAATAATTTTAAATGGGGTGTTCAGAAAAGGCCACACTAAGGTGACATCAGAGTGGACACCTGAAGGCCGTCACACACATTGGTATTGACATCCATGGACACACAGGCAGCCACCTGGAGTTTTACCCACGCATGCTGTATCACACAGACACATGCACAAATCCCCAGATGCCATGTTGCAATAGACAAGAGCATGGGTCCTTGAATTCTTGCTCCATGACTTGCCAGTTATGAGAAAACTTGGGTAGGTAAGTTAACCTGTGGCCCAATGTCCTCATCCATAAGACAGGATGACCACAGTACACCTCTTGTAGGGTTGTTGTGAAGTTTGAAGGACTGACCCATATGAAGTACTAGAAGAGTGTTTGGCATACAGTCAAAGCTCGTAAAAATGTGTCTTTTTTAGCCCTGGCTGGTTTGGCTCAATGGACAGAACATTGGCCTGTGGACTGAGGGTTCAATTCCGATCAAGGGCATATGCCTGGGTGAAAATGTGTTTTTTTAGAAATCGGGGTGACATTGGTTAATAATGCCATTTAGGTTTCAGGTGTCCGATGCTATAATACATCATCTGTATATCATGCAGTGTGCTCACCATCCCAAGGCAAGTCTCCTTCCGTTAAAATGGTAACTTTGACTTTTCTGCTTCCTGTGGAATGACTGATGAGGTGCCCTGTGGGGCTCTCCCACTAGATATAATTGCTATTATATCCTGCTTAGGATACAATTTGGGGGCACTGTTGGACTTAAAAGAGGTAGGAGAGGGGCACAGAAAGGGAGAAATTGGGGCCAGAAGTAAAAGGCAGTCCCCTCTGAAAGAAGTCTTCCCCAACCAAGGCGTGCAAGACTCACACACTGAGATCAAGTCACGTGCTCCCACATGACGATCATAAAATATGAGAAGACAGGCCAGTGAGAGCAGAGTCAGCAGACACAACACACAACACACCTGGAATGCCAGGTGGAAAATACAGCACAGCCCTGTACAACATATTTGAAGAAATAAAGGATGGGCCTGCACCCAAGGGCTGTCAGGAACAAAAAGACAGATGTGAGGAGGGGAAGAAAAGAGAAGAGGAGAGAAGAGAGAAGAGGAGAGGAGAGGAGAGGAGAGGAGAGGAGGGAACAGAAGGGAAGAGAGAAAGAAAGAAAGTAAGCAAGCTAAACTACTGGAGGTGAAAACAGCACTCCTGAAATAAAATGCAATGTAGAAGTTAAACACAGATCAAACATAGCCAAAAAGCTAGAGAGAAAATTAGTAAACTAGAAGTATTGTGAGATAAGAAGTAAAAAACTTGAAAGCAATGTTTTAAAAAAATGGATAATAGAAACAGGGCTTGGCTATGGCTGAGTTAGTGGACAAATTTGCGCCCCACACGGCTATAAAATTGGACAGAAATGAGAAAGCAACCATTTCAGTGCTCTGGAAATTGACCAAAGGCTAAAATAATCTGAGAAGCATTTGTGCTTGGTGGGTTCTTGCTTACTCCTCCCCTCCATCAGACTCCTCCCCATTCCCCAGCCCACAATGACTTTTGAGTATGGGGCAGATTGAGGATCAGAAGGTTCACTGTCATGGTTGAAGGGAACTCAATCAATTTGAGGTATAACATTGGATTTGGCATTGGTTTCATAGATATGATACCAAAATCACAAGCAACCAAAGAAAAAAAATAAATAAATGGGACTTCATCAAAATTTAAAATTTTTGTGCATTAAAGGACGCCATCAAAAAAGTAAAAAGTTATCCTAGCCGGGTGGCTCAGTTAATTGGAGCATCATCCCATGTACCAAAAGGTTGCAGATTTGATTCCTGGTCAGGGCACATACCTAGATTGCAGGTTCCATCACTGGTCAGGGTGCATACAGGAGGCAATAGATCAATGTTAATGTCTCTCTCTCTCTCTCACTCTCTCTCTCTCTCTCTCTCTCTCTCTCATCAATTAAAATACAAGTAAATAAAAATGCTAACGGGACTGCTGTAATGAGAAGAAGAAAGAGAGAGAGAAACCTAGGCATACAGAATTAAAATGGCAATAAATAAGTACCTATCAATAATGACCCTAAATGTAAATGGGTTAAATGTTCCAATCAAAAAGGATAGGGTAGCTGAATGAATACAAAAACATGACCCAACTATAAGCGGTCTACAAGAGACCCACCTCAGAACAGAAGACACATACAGGATGAGAATGAAGGGGTGGGGAAAAAAAATCATGCAAATGGAAAAGAAAAAAAAGCTGGAGTAGCAATACTCATATTCGACAAAATAGATTTCAAAATGAAGGCCATCACAAGAGATGACAAAGGTCACTACATAATATTAAAGGGATCGATCCAACAAGAGGATATAACCCTGGTCAA